GAAGCGGACTCGTCTACTGTCCCCGTACAACCCATCGTTGTTGCAGACCTTATGGCAGATCCCACTTCCGACCCCTCTGCCGCCGCATCTTCCGAATTCAGCTTTGTGCAGAGCTTCATCACTAAGATCATTAACGACATTGATGTCGTCCTTAACCCACCCACTCCATCAGCTGCTGCGGGTAAGTACGACGGTGCGTTCGAGTCCACTTCCGTCGAGAACACCAACCCTGCTGACCTGTTGGACTCCAATGACAAGGAGCTCCTTGACGCCAAGTACTGGGAAATCAGCTTGTACAAGACCGCGCTAGAAGGGAGAAAGGATGAGCTGGGCGCTGACGGGATGTTGGATAGAGAGGACGATCAGGAGGTTCAGATAGGAAACAAACTAAGGAGGGATGCGTTTCTTGTGTTTCGGGCGCTCTGTAAACTCTCCATGAAGACTCCTCCAAAGGAGGCATTGGCTGATCCGACACTCATGAGGGGTAAGATCTTGGCTTTGGAGCTTCTCAAGATTTTGTTGGAGAATGCTGGAGCAGTGTTCAGAACAAGTGATAGGTATCGTTGATTGTTGCCTCCTCTATTATTCATTTTCTCTTCATGGCAGCGTCCAATTGTGGAGTGTTTGGAATCGAAGGGGATCTATGTTTGCCAGGCATGCTAGTTGTTAACCGGTTTTAAATTCAAAGCTTAAATGAATGATTGATTACCAAACATTTGGTATTTCTAGACTACTATTTTTTTACCTAGAAAATATAAAGTCTAAATCCTTACATGGCTTATCAATCACTCTCTCACATTACAACTATCCATATTGGTCATCTCTAACTCTCAAAAGAAGGCTTTCTAACATTATCAAGTGTCACCTGCTCTTGAAATTTGCTCAATTGTGGTAGAAGAAGCAAGTATTAATGATTTAGAAATCACACGAATCACTTGATCCCAACTGAACATTTGACACTGATATCACTAGTTAGGAAATGCGGAATTAAATGACATCATAATTGGGCTTGAAACACAAGTAGTCAAAGTTATTTTCAGTCTAAAAGTTTTTTCTATAGGCCATGGTCAACCACTTCTTGAATTTTTGGAGATTAGTTGACTGAAATTTTGATGCTAAACATCTATAAAAGTATATTTGATTCAATTAAGATTTGTTGCCTAAAATTTAAAAATAACTGCCTAACGTCACCTGCAATCAAGCAAATTTTTATTCCTTCTATTTGTAAATTCTCTTATCTGGTCATCACTAGGCAGACATGCCACACAAGAAGAGTCATTTTTTAGTTTTTCTCAGTTTTCTTATAAAATAGTTAACTTTATGAGTTTTTGGTGGGGAGCTTTATGGAAAATGAACTTGCAAGTGTTTGACATTTTATGGTGGCCTGAATGAAGTTCTTTTAACTTTATTAAGGTTGTTCTCTTCAGCATGCAAAATGATGTTCACGGAAGAGCAGCTATTAATTTGCAATTATTATCCTGGTTTCTATAAGGTGGGATGAGAACAAGCAGACCATGGGTTATTGGGGTAGGTTGTGCCTTCTGTGACAGTAGGTTACTAAGGGAAAACAAGCGATAGTTGCTCAATGTTTTGCCCTACATCATTTTGGAGGCTAGCGCTACGTTGCGAGGTAAATTTTTGTGGAGCATTTTAGGAATCTTTGTTTGACCGGGGTATATTGGGATGGCTTTTAGGTGTCTTAGTATTATACATACCATTTGTGTTTGCAATGTTTCTAATGGATTGGATCCTCTCTTTCCTCCAGTGGATATAAGCTCAATTTATCTAAACCATGTGATGTTGTTCTCCTTATGCGATTGTTCTCTTTTTCATTTCTTTGTGTTCTATCATGTTCGTTCATGGTTAAAACATTCGTATAAAAGTTTTTGTTTTTCTTATCAATTGGTATCAAATTGAGTTTACAAGGAGTATGATGGTTACAAATTTAAAATTTAGAAGATTGACAACTCAAAGAACCTTGTGCTTTAAAGAACCAAGATTCATGTTGTTATAGTTTAAAAAAGACTTGAGAAGGCACTCATGTGGTTTGCCAATATTTTTGTGATCACGTGTGAAGAAGTCAAGGCAAAGATTGATGAAAAAGTTCTCTTAACTGTGTTTATGTATGAGGTCTTAATGGTGATTGTGCAAGAGCAACCATTGTGGGATTAGGATTCATGTTGGATTCTTTGTGTATGACCCAAATTTTATTGCCAAAATGGTTAGTTTGTCACTATAAAGTTGAAGATATAAGATGATGGGATTATGCCATTGGTTGGAGTTAGACATGTAATAGATGCTTAGTAGAATATGCTATCTTTTATTTCTCTCAACTATCTTGGATATTCTTTAGAGATGTTTGTCGGCGATAAAAAGTTGGGGGAGTTGCCCGTAGGAAACTGTCGGTCACCGGAATCGAAATCTCGTCGCCCGCTTCGGAAAGATGTTTTATTACTCAAGTTTAAACAAATTATGAAATCAAACTGACTCCATAATTTTCACAGTTTAAATGAAAAAACTTGAGGATGATGCTCGATCAAATAAACTAAGAAATATATGACGTCCGTTTGGTCTGCGAAACCGTTTTATTTACCGACAAATTCTCCTATTTAATATGAAAAATTAAATAGGGTTTATTTTAAGCTGGGTTCGGAAAAACTTCCTATAAGGGCAAACCCCTATAGTTAATTATATCTTAAATGACCGAAGTCACTTAAGAATACTTTCGATAAAAATCAAGAAAAATTATCTTCAAGGAGGTTAAAAAGATAGGACTTTTCAACAAAATCGGACAAAGAGATGTGCAAAAGGGAATTATTCAAACTTGAAACATTTATTACAGAATCCAAAAACCAAAAGAATAAGAACTAGGGGATGCCACAGATCCAGAGGAGATCCTCGGTGACTTCCCAGTTTGGCTTCAGTTTCGAGGAGAGATATTCAAGTGTTTTATCTTACCAATTTTATCTATTTAGGGCTTACATTCGTGTGAAACGATCATACAGATAACCTGAAAGATGTGAGGATTTAGGTCGTAACGAACGATAACCTCAAAATCTTAAAATGAGTTAGGGCTTAGATCATACAACAGAGCTATACAAATGCCTAAAGAACAGACTTAAGATTTATGTTGCGCTAAACGAACAACCTCGAAATCCTATGAATTGTTATTTTAATTTCCAGGAAAGGAATGATTTAGCTGGGGAGACATGTTCTGCCGTTGAAGATGACCGTGCTCCCCACAACATTAGCTCCAAGCTCATTGTCGTGACGAGTTTAAGTTTTCTAGGGTGTCAGGTTGTGATGTCAAATCCAGCGACCCTATGATTGTAGTTCTTCAGATATTTTATAGATAATATATTGAAGTTGTACAGTGTATAACATAACAGTAGAGTATGTAGCACGGTGAAGACATGTTCTGTCATTGAAGATGACCTTGCTGTCCACAACACTAGCTCTGAACTCCTTGTTGTGACGTGTTTAAGTTTTCTAGGGTGTCAGGTTGTGATGTCAAATCCAGCGGCCCTATGATTGTAGTTCTTCAGATATTTTACAGATAACATATTGAAGTTGTACAGTGTATAACATAATATTAGAGTATGTAGCACAGGACAAGCAGTAGAGTATGCAGTAAAGAAAACAGTACAACATGCGGTGTAAGGAAATGCGGTGTAAGGGTGTAAGGAAAAATAAAAGGTACAGCAGGGAAGTGATTATAAGAGAATAACATGTTGTAAACGTAAAACAAACCTGTATACCTGAGAGATCCGCTGTTTCTTAGGTGTAATTGATGCAACATGTACAATCAATCAAACTTGAGGAAATAGACTGAAATGCTTTATATAAACGAAAGCAAAGAA